AAGAGTCGTAATTTTCATTTATTTGTTACATTCTTAAAAAAGGTGATTGACCAATCAGAAGAAAATTAGCGTGGTGATTAGAATTTCTATGATTACAGGATTAGTTGTTTTAAGAATTTTGTGAAACACAGTAAATCATCGTCCTTGTCTGGGTACGATTCAAGTTATTTGAATAAGACCAGGGTAAGCACATCTTTAGAAAAACATCAACGTAGAAAATCGTCCCTGAACACAAGATCTCAAACGTCATTTCCATTTCGGGTTAAAAAATTCTATTATATCGATATATAAATAAAAATATTTATCAATTTGGTCTTTAGCCGCAGTATTAAATTATCATACTCCGAACCAATCATTGCTAGGAAATTGAATATATAAGATCCCCCGTAGCATTGATTTCAAGCTTAGGATCCTGTTAATCGTCCAGGAATAAAATTAAAAAACTAACGCTAACGGAAGGGTGAATTTACAGACAAGGCTATTTTGATCATGGAAATTGAACATTCTGGAACGACGATTGATGAGGGGCTTTACTCTAGACAGCTGTATTTATTATCATTTCGCTTAAGCTATGTGAAAGTTAAGGCTTGAATTCAGCTGAAAATATTTACGATCTGTTTATTTGTATAGCTATGTTCTTGGTCATGATGCTATGAAAAAAATGGGAAGTTCTAACGTTCTTATCGTAGGCTTAAAGGGTCTTGGTGTTGAGATTGGTATGTTTTTTTTTTTTCTTTTTTAAGTTCATATGTTATTCGCATTAAGTAATTAATTTTAAGCGTAATTTGATCATGGTATAGCAAAAAATGTCGTATTAGCCGGCGTTAAAAGTGTCACCCTTTACGATCCCGAGCCAGTCAAGATTTCCGATTTGTCATCGCAAGTAGGACTCTTACGAATGTTACGAGTATTTATAATAAATAATAATAAAATAGAGCTGATCATTGATGACATGTGTTTTTGTTTAGTTTTTCCTTCATGAGGATGACATAGGAAAACCCAGAGCTACAGTGTCTAGACCACGGTTGGCCGAACTCAATCAATACGTACCTGTATCTATATTGGAAGGAGAATTAACGAATGATAAAATAAGGAATTTCCAGGTGATGTTTGTTATTATTTAAATAATACGCGTAATTGGCAGACTGGCTTTATTTCAAATCGTACAATGTATGCGTACATATTTACTGAATCGTGTTATATTACTTGCAGGTTGTTGTGTTGACAGAAACACCGCTAAAGAAGCAATTGGAAATTAACGATTTTACTCATGCTAATGGAATACATTTTATTTCAACTGATATTCGCGGTCTTTTCGGGTAAATGAAAGTTTTTACAATATTATCTATTTTCTTAAATAATTATTATTAACTTCTATTTGTGAATCAGCGTGGCTTTTACCGATTTTGGACCACGATTCACTGTCACTGACACCACGGGTGAGAATCCATTAACAGGAATGGTCGCTGCAATCTCAAAAGACATCGACGGAATTGTAACGTGTCTTGATGAATCGCGACATGGCCTGGAAGATGGTGAATATGTGACTTTTACTGAAATTAAGGGTATGGAAGAATTAAACGATTGTGAACCAAGAAAAATTAAAGTACTGGGTGAGTGTAAATTTTACCATCTGTGCTTGTTGAAAATGATTTTTGAGTACATTTCAATAATTTATATATTGCCTTGCAATTAGGTCCTTACACTTTTAGTATTGGTGATACTTCAAACTTTGGTGACTATATTGGTGGTGGTCTTTTCACACAAGTCAAGCAGC